CCTTACTTCTGACCATCATCATCCTCCATCCTCTTCTTCTTTCCTGGCCTCCTTTCCTCCTGCTTGCCAGGGCACCTGTAGCTGCAGTATCTCTCTTGCTGCCCTGCCTTCTGCTCCTTTTCTCCCTCCAAGCTCTTCCTCAAACTTCCTCCCCTATTCCAACCACAGCTCGCTACCATTGTATTCCTCAAACTCCCCCTTGCCCTCCACTTACACCCACACTCAGCATCCCCTCTGTCACCTTCCCTCACGGCCAAGGCCCCACCACCCTCATAACTGACCCTGTGTGGCCACAAGCAGGAGCTCAAAACCTGTCCACCTCTTTTTCCAGCCAAATATAACTTTTGATTTTTTTTTTTTTTTTTTGATTTTTTTTTAACGGGGAAGGACTGTCTTTTTCACTGATTTTTATTTTTAGATTTTTTTATGTCTTTCCTGCCCCTCATGTCTGCACGTGCTGCCTTATTTCTGAGAACTAGCTGACTTCTCCTCCTGGCCAAAACCCACTTCTCTACTTCAGACCCTTGCAAAAGGCAGAAAGCACTAAATGGCCCTAATGAGCCCCAGCTATACCTGCAAGTGACCTGTCCTCAACCCACTGTCCTTCTCCACACTTTGCTCCTTGCATTCACTCAGTTCATACCTGCAGCCACTGTCCTCTGCCTCCTCCATCCAAAGATGATCTTTTTCTGGGAAAGACAGTTTGGCTGGAATGGTAAGAGAGCAGTGCTGGTAGTCCTTGCATCCTGCTAGACTAATTTCAGTACTATCCCATCCACAGGGGTGTGCCAGAGGGGCTGGAAGGAGAGGCTGCAAATGAGCATTCACCTTCCCCTGCAGTCAGCCTACCTCTTAAGCTGGTTGCCAGAGGAAAGGGTTGTTGGTGCCAAGAGCTACAACCTTCATCCTTGAACACCTGGCATGTGGAAAGAGGAGAAATGGGATTATCGGGCCCATGGACTATGTGCTTTGTTTTCCACAGGACCTTGCAGGTAAGACAGAGTTCTGGAGCAGCAGAATTAATGGGCCATGTCCTACAGTGCAGTCCCTGGGGATTAATAAGGCACAAGGCATCAATGGACACTCCTCCCCTGGTGGAGTCTGAAAAATTAAGTGCTTAATATGTGTTGAGAGCCTGCAGCAGATGCTGATTTGTATTTGATCTTTTTTCCTCTCCCCAGCCCAATATTTTCATAAAATTTTTAGGTTGTCATTAGCACCTCCCTCACATGGGAATAAACCATGCCAATTGTGTGAAAGATTATTAGAGAGGGGTGAGGGTGGCTTGCTAGCTGCACACACACACACAGACACACACACACTCACTCTGTATGCAATACCTTCATGTTTTACTTAATGATTCTGGCTTTGAGATAAATTTTGCAATCAAAAAAAGCAATCAACCCTCGCAATAAAAAAAAAAAAAATGAAGCCGGGCCAAATAACTTTGCCAGATATCTGCAGCTAGCAGGCAGCAGGATGGTAAGCAGCATTGAAGTCATGCTTCAGCTTCCTGCGTTCAGCTCCCTGCGCTCCCCTGCGCCCTGGAGCACCCCCCAGCACTGCCTCCCAGAAATGAACTCGTTCATTTCCAGCAAACGCCGCACCGTCCCCTCCCTGCTCCCTGCGGCTGGGACCCCGGCTGCCCGGGGTGCCTCTGGCTTTTGTGGGGGCGCAGGTGTCCCCAGGGCACGGGTCCAGCCCCCTCCAGGTGGGG